GGCACCGCCAACATTGACGACCGGCATCACGCCATTTTCTGTACGTATGTATGTACGATACATACATTTACCAGCATTGGTCAGCACTCGTAGAAGAGGAGTAAAGAAGCAGCAATAGGAAGACTGTCTAGACAACATACAAATCTAAAGCTGTAGTTAACCCACCAGGATTCGAACCTGTTGCCTCAGGAAAGCATCTCTCTCAGGGACTGTACTTCACATGGCCAAATTGGACACACCCAGAAGAAGCTGTCATCTTTAGCCAGGTCTATCATACACCTGAACCCCATAGCTATAGAAAATAGATTACTTTGTTCTTATTCTGCCTTGTATCCCCCCAATGGAGCTTAGGCCCTCAACTGATACCAACTTGCCCTATCCTAGTGTTGCATGCAGCTCACTTCATATCCTGCTCACCTTTTCTTATTTCACTCTTTGTATGGTCTTCCTCTGTTTCATTGGACCCTGCAAGTCTCAGTTCAAAGACAGAATAGTTAGTGTTACAAGGTTTTCTCAATGTGTCCTATTCAGCCAGCATCTTTTCATCACCTCTTTGAGGAATCTGCTTAGGTCTGTCCCAAAGTGATTATTTGTACCATCTAATTCTCTCCTGTACAGGTTTGTTAGTATTTGTTTTAACTTGTTGATAGATTACAGAAAGAATATGTATTAACCAAGCAGTTACTTAAAATAAAAAAAAAAATGTTGAATGTATTCACCTAGAGAGCAACATTTCCACACACAACTTGATGATGACAGGATAAGGACCTGCCTCTGTAAAAGATCTTAAAAAGTCTACAGATTAAGACATGTTATGACGACAGTTGTAAACTTTATTTTATTGTATTTTGTGTGTGGCATGTAGAACTTATTCATTGCTGTAGACTTTCACAATCATAACTGTAATAAAAAAAAAAAAAGCAGACTGAAAACATGTAATGCAATAAAAAGTAAACATCAATCTTAGCTTACATTGACTGTCCTGTAAATCATTTCAAATGTATCAGCACAGACATTCACAAATAAATTTAGCAATGCTTCCCCCCCCCCCTTTTTTTTGAGCATATCGTGGGGGGGGGGGGGGGGGGGGGGGGGGGGGGTTTGAACAAGTTAGGCCTCAATTACCCCACACAACATTCACAGAGCCCGGAACAAGTTTCAGCTGCATGGCGATATCTTCAAACCTCCACTTGACTACATGCTGCTCATCGGTTTTCTGTGGTGGCTTTTCAAGCAAGAATACCCATTTTGTTGTGTATGTTTGAACTCTGGTGAAGCTATTTGCACCATTCAAACTTCAGTTTGTCAACGAGGATGCCACAGAAATATATGCTATGCAAGCAAAGGACCACTTTTATAGACTCAGTGAATTATATGTCAGCCAGTACATAACCAGCACAGGTTTAAAACAATGAAAACAAGATTATTTGGTGGACTGTCCTCTGCTACGGATCTACCATGGTGTAGCAGCTAGATGCTTGCCTGTGGATCCAAAAGTCATGGGTTCGAGTCCAAACTGAGCCTGCTTTTTTTCCCCCCCACTCAAAAATGACCTTGACTGCGAGTCGTCCCAGCCTTCCGTTTCCAAGTAAAGTTCTAGGAAGTAAAGGTGATCCCCAGTGAAGGTTCTGATTTGACTCCCACAAAAAAGTGACTGGTTTGATCAAAATAAAATACCACAAAGTCAAAAAGACTTGGTCAACAAACTGGGTGCCTTGAGACTGAGATGGTGCTGAGGTATATGAGTGTTCACTGCATATAGATTATAAAGAAGATATCATACCTATTATGGTGAAGACAAAGGAAATGTCAGTGTCACATAAAGCATCCTACAGCGTTACTAAATCAACACAGCAACATGTGGGAAAGGAAAGCTGCATAAGGATACAAGTACAATACAGCATTCAGCCAATCTTTATTAACTTTAACTCTGCCATCGGGTGAAGGCCAAAGGTTTAGCTTGTGTCATCAAGAAACCACAATGTTATTTTGTTCGATGTGATCCAGTCAATATTCAAATAAAATTTGTGTTTGTCTTCGGCCACGACACCACTAGCAGGCTTGCCTGTCTGCTCGGCGGTCATAGGTTAACTCCCATGAACTTTTATCAAAACTAAGATTTCTTCTCCCCCTTGTCTGTTGTGTTTCTGAATGCTAAAGGACACTGTCCATACTTTTATAGACTTGTTGAATTATGTCAGCTACCTTGACTTCCAATGACATTTCCTGGTATATCCCACACTAAAAAAAAGATATTCCAATACTAATATTTCTTCCCACTTGTCTGTTGTTTCTTTTTAATGTGCTTCATTAGAAGGTTACTGTTAAAGATTTTACAGAGGGTGAAATGGGTTATGCAAAAGATTTGGTTGCCTATGTATGTGTGTGTGTTTGTCTCAGGAGGAATGGGGGGGGGGTGCATGATGTAAGAGCTGTGACCCCACAGGATCTAAGTCTACCCAGTGTGTCACATTTGATGTTACTCTACTGCTGTATTGTTTGTAAGGTATACATGTTTATTGCCCGAGTTAATGCTGTTCTTTGACTGTTAATGTATGTTATAATGTGACAGTTTCAGCTGATCACTTGTGGCCATGGACTGCTTGGTGATGACACAGTGCCAACAAACTTTCTGTTGCCCGTCATGTCATTGTTAAATATACTGTGTTGATGAAATTAAATGTGCCTACCAAACTTATAGACTGTGTTTCAAGCTCATTGAGTGGCTGATGAATGGAAGACTGAATTGTTAATTTTAAAACCTTTTGTGGTAATTTGTTTTAGCCCTGTACATTTCTACCTGCTTAGAGAGAATGTCTTGTGATGCCAAACCATACAAGGCATGACCAAACCAGGAGAGGGACCTAAAGAAAGATAACATCAGAGAAACTACAACAACATGATGTGTCTGTAGCTGAACAGAACCTTCTATCTTCCTCGACACCTAAAGCAGTCAAAGATAAACTGAAGAAGAAAGCATTTCATTTACTGCAGTGAGGTTGGTGTGTACACTGTTCTCCGGACCCAGCACTATCTCCACAGTGACACAGCTTTCCTCTCCTCTGTAAGCCCAGCCAACAAAGGGGTGTACAAGAAAAATTAACTAACTTGTAGACAGGCACATTAGGATGCAACTAGACCTGTGGACAAAATGCCAGGATGCAACTAGACCTGTGGACAAAACGTCAGGATGCAACTAGACCTGTGGACAAAACGTCAGGATGCAACTAGACCTGTGGACAAAATGTCAGGATGCAACTAGACCTGTGGACAAAACGTCAGGATGCAACTAGACCTGTGGACAAAATGTCAGGATGCAACTAGACCTGTGGACAAAATGTCAGGATGCAACTAGACCTGTGGACAAAATGTCAGGATGCAACTAGACCTGTGGACAAAATGTCAGGATGCAACTAGACCTGTGGACAAAACGTCAGGATGCAACTAGACCTGTGGACAAAACGTCAGGATGCAACTAGATAGATCTGTGGACAAAAAACATCAGGATGCAAGTAGGTAACTTCTTCCCTGTCCACCCTTAAATAATTTTTGTCACTGTATTATGGCAATAGAGAGAGTGGCTAAAGATATAGGGCTAACATATCATGAAATATGAGCGCCAGTCCTCTATGAATTTATATCTATCAGAGATGAAATGAACAATCCTAGCCAGTACACTGTGTGGCAACACCAGCCGGTACACTGTGTGGCAACACCAGCCGGCACACTGTGTGGCAACACCAGCCGGTACACTGTGTGGCAACACCAGCCAGTACACTGTGTGGCAACACCAGCCCGTACAATGTGTGGCAACACCAGCCGGTACACTGTGTGGCAACACTAGCTGGTGCACTGTGTGGCAACACTAACCGGTACACTGCGTGGCAACACCAGCTGGTTCACTGTGTGGCAACACTAGCCAGTACACTGTGGTAACACTTACGCAGATTTGCTGCCTCTGTGCTCAACACTTCATCAAGCATAAACAGCAATGAAGATGCTGTAATAACTCATAATCACTGGAATACCTGAAATAACCAAATATGTTCACACCTCTATTGCTTATTTGATACACCTGCACTTGTGCATTATTGGATATATTTACAGATCTTTGGAATTGTCATGGTAACTAGAACAGCTTTTTTTTCTTTTTGATATACATCATAGTGTTACCATTTCTTTGTTGGCCTATCTTAAAAAAAACATTAAAATACACAACCAACATGAACACAATTATACATCGTAGGAGTACCATACTGGGAGTAACAGCACTCAATGTAAACTAACTTTTAGAACATCAGTTTGAACAAAGAAGAAAACAAAATACTGCACAATTTATTGCCTGGTATATTTTGCTGTATCTCGTCTGGTGCACAGTAATAAACAAGTGTTGACGAAAAGAAAGTTGCTGAAAGAAATAAAAATGAGACAGTGAAATATTGTGATCACATTTCAAGACATAAAACCCATGCTGAGGGGAACAGCTGTGAGCAAGTGATAGACAGCAATATAAATGGGAGGAAGGTAACATCATGAGATGGATAAACAACAGTCTAAGAAAGCATACAACAGAATGAAAGACTGAGCAGGCTGGAGATAACTGCAGCAAATGTTCACTGTGGAGATGGCACTTGCTTGACGTGCTGATAGAATTGTACACAATAAAGAAGCAGTCACATTTGAGTGCGGTGCACATTTTGTATTCCAACTAAAAGGATTCGTTGATTTGCTTCATCCTGTTTTATTCCTTGGTATGTAACTGACGAGATACAGCGAAATGTGCCACACAGTAAATAGTGCAGTCTGTGCTTTCTTTGTTCAAGCTTTCAAGCGGAGAAAATTGCTTATATTTATACAGCATCAATCACTGGGGCAGCTTTTGAAGTCACTGTAACTGCAGGAGAAATACATTCACAGATATTGATTATCACTCAAAGAAATAGAGGAAAATCAGGGGTCACAGATTCACTTGTTGGGTCCTCTCCTTTCCAAAAACAAAGCTAAAATCCAGAAACATTCTCAGATCTGTCAACAAATTTCAAGGTAGACATCATGTCTTCAACTTCCACATTGGTGTCTTTCCATGTGGACTTGATCATCTCATCTATGGTGCAGCACTGGTGTGTGAAGGTACTGGGGTCGAAGCATGGACTGTCAGTCGACTTATTGCTGGCAAACACCACCGTGTTGATGTCTTCTTGGAGAGCGATGGATGCACAAGTTAGGAAAGTGGAGCAGACGCGCTGCATGATGTCTTCTTTGATGCTTTCATCTCTACTGGCCAGATTCAAGATGAAAATGCCTGTCAGAAATAAAATCAACAGAGATATTTAACACACAAAAAATAATAATAAAACTAGATACACACAAAACAGGAACAAAACTGTGTACACATACAAACTGAATGGAAACTGGAACTGACATATTTGACAAACAAAACTGGAACTGAGGTATCTGACACAAAGAGAACATGAATAACATCTAGAACTGAAGAATCTGGCAGATAAAGAATAACATCTCGAACTGAGGTATCTGACACAACAAAACATAGGAATACACATAACCTGAGGTATCTGACATAACAAATAGGAATACATATGACCTGAGGTATCTGACATAACAAATAGGAATACATATGACCTGAGGTATCTGACATAACAAATAGGAATTCATATGACCTGAGGTATCTGACATAACAAATAGGAATACATATGACCTGAGGTATCTAACATAACAAATAGGAATTCATATGACCTGAGGTATCTGACATAACAAATAGGAATACATATGACCTGAGGTCTCTGACATAACAAATAGGAATACATATGACCTGAGATATCTAACACACACAAAACATAGGAATACAATATCCTTATACACATAGAACTGCAGCAGGTAACAGCTGGCTGGTAGAACTGTTATGGCCGCCCTGATAACAACTTCCTTCGAGGTTAAACAGGCTCTCAGGGATCTTTCTGCCGTCCAGAATAATATTTTGTAATCTCAGGACAGTATGGTAAACCTTTAAGTAGCAGTCAGGAGGAGACAAACTGATCGACTGACTGAGCGAACATAAGAGTACAAAACTGAACTCTACACAGATCTTGTACAACAGGAAAACTCCAGTCAAGCAGAAATTTGAAATTTTCATTTAAATGGAACAATACGGAAAAGAAGATTACAGGTAATTTCAACTTGTAATAAATAGAAATTAGGTCTAAAAAAGAACAAGAAGAATATTTAAAACTTCCATCACATAAAAATACATAAAATTTTGGTCTTTTTTAAAATATTTATTAGATAAGAATCAAAGGAGGTTGAAATATCTGACACTACACTACAAGGAAAGGTTGGGGGGGGGGGGGGGGGGGGGGGGGGGGGGGGGGGGAAGAGGGGTGGGGGGGGAAGAGGGGTGGGGGGGGGGGGTTTTATTTATTTAAAAAAAATATATTAAAAAAAAATATCATGACTTCAGAAATGATCAACCAAAGTGTTGGTCACAGATTTCAAGAACATATTGAAATGGATTTAGACACCGCCTTTGCAAAGAAAGCAAAATTAACCTAAGTTTTGGATGTAATCATTATAATAATTAACTTCAGTGGTCGATCCACACTTCTAATGGAAATTATTAAAACAAAAAGGTCCTTTTCATGCTTCAGCATTTTGAGCCTCTGAGATTCACTGCTGCAGATATTGTCTGCCATTGATCTCTCTCACTGGCCTTCTTTTTACAGCTGGTGACTCCAAGAGTTTGTAGGTCTGCATAAACATTCTCTCTCCACCATGATCATGCTCTATAGATGCCAGACTGTGATGTCACTCATACAAAACAGCTTCATTCAATCACCATTGTCAGATTTTTTAACTCTTCACTTGTAGATGAAGATGGGGACGGAGCGCTTATGGGAGTGTACCGAGTGCTGTGATGTCGGTTCTTAATTCAACATTTAACATTCATTCACTCACCATCGTCGGAAAGTAACCTTGAAATGGTGGTCAGGAACTCAGGCTCTACAAAAGCTAACGGCGGACAGTTGAGCCCGACAGAGTGGTCCTTACTGTCAACATCAAGCACAACTACATCTCGGTTCTCACCTGGATACAACACAGAAGGCATTACATATTCAGCAACCGGCTTTCTTACTGAAAAAGTCTGCCTTACAGACACAACACATAAATTATTGTAATCCCTAACCCCTGAATCCCAACCATTTCATTATTCTCTTCATCATCATTAGCAAGTGCCTTGCATCTGGCGTGGGCAATCATGCCTCTCCAAACTTTGCGACCAGCAGCATGTAACAGTTTGTGTGCAGACCCCCCTCCATGACATGACAAAAGGCCTGACATGAAAAAGAATCTTCTCATATTATCTTCCATTATCTCACTTTCCACAAATCTTAAGCAGTCACAGCATGTTCCAATGCCCTTCTTTTGCAAATGTGACCAGAAAATTATGACAATCTCTTTCTGATATTTGTGATAAGTTTTCTTAGGGTCCCTCCCCTCACCTGTTTCAAAACATCTAGATTACCTATTCTGGCTGTTCAAGGAATTTTGAGCATTCTTCAATAAAAATACATATTGTTTTCTTTCTGTTCAAATAAAAAACAATTTAATTCGGATTACTGAAGTGAAACTTACATTTCTGTCACTGCCATAAAATCTTGCTACAGGGATTAAACCCCCCATCTCTCACTTAAACAATTGCCTCCAGTCATAGTTTAGGCATTCTCAGCCCAGCGGAGATCAATGTTCAGCATAAATATTTTTTTAACTTGAAAAAAAAAAAAATTATATACTTTTCCTTTTTTTCCCCACTTCCTCTATTTATGTTTTGTTTCACAGCTGTTCTTCTGCCTAGTTTTTTCATTCAAGTATTGGTATGACAGAAACTCTTGCTCTGGGATCCAATTACCTAATTTTCCTTGAAAAAACACTGCCTCATTCATATTATAGGGGTTTTCAGTCCTGCAGTGATCAAAGTTCACCATATCTTCACCTCACTTTTTTTTTGTTTAAATTAAATTTCCCAGTTCAATTTGGCTATTCTGTGTAATAGTGCTTCTTGATTTCATACTGGGTGCTTCTCGTCATTGTGTATCATGGCTTTCCAAGGAGGCTCCCACTGTCAGTCTTTTAGTGGGATTTTATTTCTATTTCCTCTTCTTCTTCTTCGCGTTCACCAGCCGTAAACTCCTGTGGAAAGTTGTGGTTGTTCGTCCACTTCTGGACTGCAGTCCTGTTCCAGAACCTGAGTGTTGCATGTGCATCCATTTTACAGATCTGACTCATTTGTATGCAGGCTGCTGGCTCCTTACCTCTCAGGCAGATGCACTCCGACTTCGAAGGAAGCTCCCAATTAGTCGACTCTTACGACATGCTTTTGGGTAGGCAGTGGGTCTATTCTTGGTTTCCCTATAATAGGGCCCTGGAACCCACACGAGGACATTTCTATTTCATTTTATTCCCAGTAAGGACCAGTCCCTACCATGACACATTTGGTAGGGTACTGCCCCTGATCAGGACACCTGCTGCAACACTCTAGCCGTCCTGAAGTTACGATAACAGAAACTGACTTACAAGTAAGTACTTTTTTTATGTCCCAAATCAGTGACTGACTTGCCTACAGATTTGGGCTGAAACCATTTCGTATAAGTGCACCATGAATACAAGTTGTCAGCTGACCAGCAAATGTTCAATCTTCACTGACAGAAACAACATATACACAGAGCATTCTCAGCTACATCATAACACCCGTCTTTCATTCCTCCACATTAAGCTCATCCTTTTCTTGTCCAGTTCTCAAAGACATAGAAGAGATTTCCATGCCATTCCGACATATTTGCGATCTGGTGCCAGGTTTAAATCTCCATATCCTGTTCCCAATAAGACACAGGATATAATTTCAGATCCATTTCAAGATCTGAAGCTGGGCTTTTATTTTCATGGAAAAATAATATTCTAGAGTCAAGTGGTCAGTTACAATGATGAGTTATGAACCAAACATCCTAGCACTCTGGACATTCCCATAAGCGCTCAATAACCACCTTCAGCAGCAAGTGCAAAGTTCTGTTTTCTGATGGTCTTTTTTGTAAGTCCATCTCACCTTTTCCTTAAGTGTTGAGCATCAGCCAGATTGCCTGATCAACTCCTCAATGCACCATTCTATTTAACACATGATTATCTATTTGTGTCTCCACACAGTTCACTTGCTCTCAAAAGACCCTGACATGTTGCTCATCGTGCACTGATTTACCACCAAATGGTGCAGAACTTGCAAGTCAGTCTTCTCTTTTCCCAGAACACCCAAATACCGCACAGAAAACACCCAACAGTCAACCCACTTACCCCCCAGGAAAATTCTCCTAAAGTTGTGTGGAGAAAAACCATACATAGAGGGATCCAATCCAACTTAGGGTCACAAGTTCGGGAGGTAGTACACTGGGCACCACATACCACTGGTGTTTGTCTCAAAGATAACTAAGATGACTAAATAAAATCATAGACTGACCAGCAGAAACAAGTTTCCTAATGAAGTCAAGTCCGTCTGCAATGTGAACTTTTAACCTTTCATCAGGTGTAAGGTCAAACCAGTTTTGTGCTATATCCACAACCGAAGGATCCAGTTCAACAGCATCTAAATTCACCTAAAAATACAATTCACATAAATAACCAGTTTCAGTGTTAAGTGATACAAATAACCATCCCCTGTCCTTTTTAATTTGTATTTGGAACACATGAGAAAAACACTAGAAAATCATGAAACATCTATATCCATTGATTAGTGTGTAATTTATGTTTTGCAGACATGGATGTTTTGGCTGGTTCTAAAGCAGAACTCTAAGAACTTGCTAAAAAATTAGAGACAGTCTGTGGTAATTATGGCACGGAAATTAAATCAGAGAAAAGCAAGATTCTGGTAAACAGTCATAACAACCAAATACCCACCAACATACAGATAAAAGGAAACAAACTAGAAGAAGTTAAAACCTTTAAATATCTTAGCTCCCACATATGCAAAGATGGCAGCTGTAACAAAGAGAACAAGACAAGACCTGATATGGCAACAGCTGCGATGTCACAGCTGAATACGATGTGGAAGAGGTAAATCTGCATCACAGTCAAGGTCAATATTTACAAATCATTGATGTTGTCCGTTTTCTTTTAAACTGCATAGAAAATAGACATATTCACCGACATGGCTAGTGGCATCGAAAGTGTTAAAGCAAAAATATGATATTTTATACATTTCAAGCCAGACAGCCCCCTTAACAGCTGAGGGAGAAAATTACCTAGCCTGCTTAGATGTAGCTGTATACAGACAAATGCATATAATGTCTTGGATAGATAAGAAAAGCAATGAAAATGTGTTGAAGGAAATCAGCTTGCAAAAAAGAATTCCCTGCAAAAAAAGGTTGACAATTCAAATTCTTTAAACATGCTATGAGATAGTGTCAACTGGAAAATGTCACCTGACAAGGGAAGTGAGATAGGGTAGGGAAGGACCTAGAGAAAAGATACTATCTAGCTTGACATCATGGCACGGAGAGAATCTATCATGTCTAACTTGATATCATGGTAGTGAGATTATCTACAATATCTAACTTGATATCATGGCACTGAGAGAATCTATGAAGTCTAACTTGTTATCATGGTAGTGAGAGAATCTATGAAGTCTAACTTGTTATCATGGTAGTGAGTTAATCTATGAAGTCTAACTTGATATCATGGCACTGAGAGAATCTATGAAGTCTAACTTGATATCATGGCACTGAGAGAATCCATGAAGTCTAACTTGTTATCATGGTAGTGAGATTATCTATGAAGTCTAACTTGACACCATGGCACTGTGATCATTTATGACATCTAAACTGACATCATGGAATCGAGAGAATTTATAATTTCTAACTTGACATAATGGCTTTGAGAGAATATATAATGTCTAACTTGACATCATAGCTTTGAGAGCTTCTTTGATGTCTAACTTGACATCAATGCAGTGACAGCTTCTATGATGTCTAACGTGACATCATGGCACTAAGAGCCTATGACACTGTCCAGCTCAACAAGCTGCCAAAAGCATACAACCTAAATTAAACATAAAAGAAATAAACAGACAAAATCAACAACAGCACTGAACTGCCACAAGCACAAAACTGGGATTACACATCACAAACTACAATCGCTTTCAGTTGACAAGGGTAGACAACTGAGATTAAGAGTTGAGTTGAGCCAAGAACTGACAACACGTATGCTCCATCCTCATCTTCAGCAGCCAGCGCAGAGTTCCAATACTGATGTTATCGGTCACAATCTGGTCATATATCCATCTTGCCTTTCCTCTGAGTGTAGTCAGCCAGCTAGACCCTAGTGGTGCAGATCCAGACAATCTGTCTGCCTGTTCATTACCCACCATGCCAGCATGGCTGGAGAAAAGATCCAAAGTATGCTAAGATTAATTACTTATTAAATGAATGTTAGATTACCTGTGGAAACACACTGTGAACAAAGCTTGGAAAGCTGCCACCACCAAGTCCTACCAGCACACACGACAGGGGACAGTCTGCAGACATCAACCAGTGTGGTCAAATCAAATAGCTTTATTTATTAGTATGGAGTAGCACTAATAACCTCATATATTATACTGTAATCTGTTAATAAGACAGCATTACTACCTAGCTATTACAACCAACTAAAAAACATTATTTGGCATTCTACTTATACAAGGTCCGACAATTAAGTAATGAGACTGATCCATAAAAATTAAAATAATCAACAGTTGAAAATATAACCTGTCCCTTGTGCATTGATACAGTGAGTAGCACGATCTAACAAACACTGGAACAGCGTCTGTAGTTCTCCTGTTGTTATGGCCCACAAAGTCGATGTTACGGCCCTTTGGATGTCATCAATATCATCAAAGCATTCTTTCAACAGTAACTTTGATTTTGGGAATAGAAAATAATCACAGGGAGACAAATCTGGGGAATAGGGTGGATGGATGAGAACACACACTTGTTTTTTGGGCCAAAAATTATGTGTACAACTTCCACCCGGTGAGCCGGTGCGTTGTCATGAAGAAGAAAAAACAAACTGCCAGGAGTTATTACTCGTGTCAGACTCGGAAAATCCTTTTCAATAGACGTTTCAAAATGCTTAAATAAACTGTGGCTGTGACAGTCTGTCCCTCTGGAATACATTCTTTGTAAATAACTCCGTTGCTGTCGTAGAAGCACACTAACATTGTCTTCACTTTCGACTTTTGAAAACAGATTTTTTTTGCTTTTTGGTGATAATGATGACTCCGACTTAGCACTTTGGCGTTTAGTTGTGGGATCATAGCAGAAAATCCATGTTTCATCCTCTGTGACAATCAGATTTAAGAATTGTTTATTTCTGTGACATGTTTTGACGATGTCTTTTGCGTACTCAACATGCTGATGTTTTTGGTCATCAGACAACAAATGTGGTACAAACCGGCAAGCAACTTTTTTTTTTCTTTTTCCAAAATCTTCCACTAGCATTTTACGAATGGCTCTCTATTAACACCACATTCATCTGCCATCAACCTCACAGTCAGACAACCATCATTTTTTAAAATCCCTTCTGACTTTTGCAAAAGAGTTCCTCATTAGGAACAGAAATTGGGTATTCAGGTCTAGCTGCATTAGTAGTCATTTCAACACCATTTTTTAATTATGAATACCACCTGAAAATCTGTGTATGAGATAAACAATTATTCCCATAAACTTTTCACATCAGTTCAGCTGTCTAAATTGGGCTTTTTCTGAGTTTTAAACATAATTTAATGTTGGCTTTTTGCTCCATGCTAATTACATAACAATGCACCTCTGACTAGTTCAACAAAATCGCTGCTTGTTTTTTGTCTGCTTATCAGGCGGCGATTAAAAGTTGCCAGATCATAGATGAAGGTTGCCTCTTTGGATTCTATGCTTTGCCTCACAGATGGCTTTTTGTGTGTTTTGGTCATAATAAAATTAGTCTCATTACTTAATTGTCAGACCTTGTATTACCAAGACTAATGACAATTCAAACAGTTGTCTAGTAAGTGGTGAGTATCATCATCGAGGCACAGACAGATCCATCCATTCTACAATCTCCTCAATAGCTTCAAAGGTAAAATAAAAATGACTGATCATGCTCATTCTGTGTTGATTAATCGAATGTGCACTTAGTGAAATACTCATGTCTAACAGCTCCAGGCAGAAGACCTAAGTCCACCAGGACAGATATATCAACCATAATATATATCAGCTAATCTGCATGCACAGTGTGTTTGTTTTGCTAACTATAAAGTGTCAACAATTCTAAAAACAGAACATGTCCTACAGACAGTAGTCTAAAGAATGTAACTGCTAACTGGCTAATATATGTTACTTCTTCTGCATCTTCAAAAGAGCAGTTGGAATGTTGTGTTGTGCTTTACAGGTAGACTGTTGTATTTGCGCCTTTTGGCTCACATCTGGTTTAAACAAACCCTTGATTAGATGTCTTTTACAACATGCTCGTTACCTCAAGGGACAGTGGGTTTATCCCCCCCCCTCCCCAAGTGGGGTCCAGGAACCCACACGGATAGGCTATGTTCTATTTACACACAAAGCTACACACCAGCACACTTAATGTTATATCACTGACTAAAGAATCTACATGTCTTAATTTCCAACACATACATTCACAAACCTAGACGAGGCACAAACCCAAACCCTCCAACCATAGCTATCAGGTAATCACTGTGCAGGTATCCTTTATCCACCCGGAGTTTTCCTGGAGAGCCTTCAAACCTGTTCTTTCTCTTTTTCTTATCACGGGCTACAATTGAGGAAACAGAGAAAATGCAAGCCTGTTACGATTATCCTATTTACACACTAGAGCAGCATAAAGAAACAGTAAAAACAGCAGAAATGTGCACCATCACTGAACTCATTTATAAGGGCATACTTGTTAATTCTTGCAGGGAAAATGTTCCACAGAGCGCTACAATAAATAGATGGGGACTAGTGAATGTGTAGAAACATCTGGTCCAAAAATTAGCATCATCATCATCCAGATCCATTGCAGAATGTCATTCTCAGGAGAGGACAGCGACCCGGTCTCTTGTGAATTTCCCCACCTGATAAACTTTCATTGGCATCCTTGTAATGTCCTGTACTGACCACTGTGCTGGTCAACCCCTGCCTCCTCTTCTGGAAACCATATCACCAAACACAAATCACCGGGGGGGGGGGGGGGGGGGGGGGGGGAAACACACACACTAGCAAATATGATTTCAATATCAGAGCAAAATTACTTGCAGTACTACTGACGTACAACGTAAGGAATACATGATAGCGTAGATGTGTGTCAGCACAAAGTAACATGATAGCATAGAAGTGTGTCAGCACAAAGTAACATGATAACATAGAAGTGTGTCAGCACAAAGTAACATGATAGCATAGAAGTGTGTCAGCACAAAGTAACATGATAGCATAGAAGTGTGTCAGCACAAAGTAACATGATAGCATAGAAGTGTGTCAGCACAAAGTAACATGATAGCATAGAAGTGTGTCAGCACAAAGTAACACATGATGGCATAACAATGTGTCAGCACAAAGTAATACATGATGGCATAAAAGTGTGTCAGCACAAAGTAATATATGATGGCACAGAAGTGTGTCAGCACAAAGTAACACATGATGGCACATAAGTGTGTCAGCACAAAGTAACACATGATGGCATAAAAGTGTGTCAGCATAAAGTAATACATAATGACACAGAAGTGTGTCAGCACAAATACATGATGACATAAAAGTGTGTCAGCACAAAGTAATACATGATGCTGGAATCTCAAGATCTAGAAAAGCATGATCATTTATGCTAGATGGTAAGGCAACTGATGATGATGTAACTAAAGAACAAATTATACATTATTCAAGACAACAAATATAATTTTTGTGTACATTAAAAGTTGGGATGGAAGAAATCAGGACATCTAAGAGAAACACCAAGGCATTTGATTAAGTAAGCCAAAAGATCTGGATTGGATTCCACCCTGGTATCTAAGTGATTGCGCGAGATAGAGCAGAATAGAGGAATAGACTGTGAGGCCTGTGACATATAATGGCACAGCATCATCATCATCACGTGCCTTGCCGACTGGCGTGGGCGATCATGCCTCTTCACAATCTGCGATCTCCTGCAGCATGTATCAGTTTGTGTGCCGACACACCTCCATGCCATGCAACAAGACTGTCAAGCATCTTCTCTCGCTGTCTACCTCTATCCCTCCTGCCACAGATCTTTCCAGTGGTCACAACATGTTCTATTTTCTAATAACATGGCAGAAAAATGATAACTGACATATAATGGCACAGCGGACAATGAATAAATGAGCTTCCCTTGTGGATTCCGGGCCCTGTTATAGAACAGACCCACTGCTTACCCAAAAGCATGTCGTTAAAGAGTCGACTAATTGCGAGCTTCCTTTCAAGTTGTAGTGCATCTGCCTGAGAAGCAAGGAACCAGTAGTCTGAATACAAATGAGTTACAGATCTGTAAAACTAATGCACATGCAACATTTAGGTTCTGGAACAGGACTGCAGTCCAGAAATGGATGAAGAACCAGAACTTTCTGCCAGAGTTTACAGCTGGTGTACGTGAAGAAGAAGAAGAAGAAATGAACAAAGCTGACTTTAACATAATTTTTTTTTTCCACTGGACTTCATGTAAGCAACAACAATAAACAAACAAAATTTCTAGATATTTGTAATCAAAATATGCTAATTACCATGTGTCATGCGAGCTTCTGACTGGACCACATTTTTGTTGGACAAAAACACTAATCTTCTAAACAGCTGACCACCATTTAACTCGACATCTTCGATCAAATAATCTCCACTTGTGTCACTGCGACCCTGAGCGACAGGAAATCGTTTGCCTATGTCCTCACCAATTGATAAAAATGGAATCTGCAGTGATAAAAAATGATGATATATGACAAATTAGATATTATATCACCCAAATGATGGCACATATTATGTACTGTAAGGATAATGTAGACACACTCATAGCAAACTGTCAGTTTATTGGTATGAAGAATATGCTTATAGGTTAAATTTTGGGGGGGGGGAGAGGGGGGGGGGGGGAGGAACACGCTGCAGAATTTAGATACACTTGTAGTTTTACATGTTTGGAGAAATTAGACATGCTTGTAGGTTTCTTGTTATGGAAAAGTTAGATGTACTGGTAGGTTTACTGCTGCAGAATTTAGACATGTTTGTAGGTTTATAGGTACAGAGCACCTAGACATGTTTGTAGGTTTATAAGTACAGAGCACCTAGACATGCTTGTAGGTTTATAAGTACAGAGCACCTAGACATGCTTGTAGGTTTATAAGTACAGAGCACCTAGACATGCTTGTAGGTTTATAAGTACAGAGCACCTAGACATGCTTGTAGGTTTATAAGTACAGAGCACCTAGACATGCTTGTAAGTTTATAAGTACAGAGCACCTAGACATGCTTGTAGGTTTATAAGTACAGAGCACCTAGACATGCTTGTAGGTTTATAAGTACAGAGCACCTAGACATGCTTGTAGGTTTATAAGTACAGAGCACCTAGACATGCTTGTAGGTTTATAAGTACAGAGCACCTAGACATGCTTGTAGGTTTATAAGTACAGAGCACCTAGACATGCTTGTAAGTTTATAAGTACAGAGCACCTAGACATGCTTGTAGGTTTACAGATATAGATCTTGTATTTTCAAAAGGATTAAAAAATCAGACGTGATTGTAGAGTAGCACAGCTCTCTTCTTTGTGTAGGGTGATGTCACACCCGGGTTTGTCTTTTGTATGCTACAGAAGAAGTCAATTGAAGAACATAGATGAGGACAAAGATGGTCGTGTCGATAGTGGTGACGATGATGGTCTCTCGTGCTTGTCACATGCTTCTCACGTCACTGACGATTGAATAATAAACTGTCTGAAAACAACTGTTCTTTTCAATGTACTGTCTTTATTGTTATACCTCAGCAATGTCCCAAATATCATCAATGATATTCCAAATGCTACTGTGTTCAGCTCTATGGTTACATACTCTTGAGGCCGCGTTGTATTTTTCATCTTTAGGTACTTTGTTAACTGGTGCTAGTGTCTGTAACTGCCACCTTGGCTTTTAGTGCTTTTTAGTACTTACAGTTTGATGATTGACTCTAACATCTCAATAGTGTTTCTATCTAATGTGTCTCTGTTGACCATGGATCCATGTATCCTGCTTTTCTGTTGTCTCTGTAGTTGAATGTCTCCTCTCTAGTGAATGCCTTTAAGGCTCTATGTGACTGGTTCCTCTTCTTCTAATGTTGAGCTGGCATTTCCACAACAGCAAGGGACCATGAGACTAGACCTCCGTCCTCTGAGTCTCAACGGCTAAAGGTTCTCTTTGAGGGTCTATGTTACTAGTCCCTCCTTTTATAAGTCTCATAGACTGAAGGTTAAAGATTCTTCCTAACATGTGAGGGTCCATATGACTAATCCCTCCTCTTTCTGGTAGACTGAAGTTTGCCTAAGCGGTTTCTTACCCACTATATATACTGAGGTGCTGGAATGTGTGATATGTGTTTTGTACTTATTAACTGCTTCTAGAAGGTTCTAGTATGGCTCAACATGTTTGCTGTGTAGCTTCTCCCGTGAAATTCTCTAACTGCTTTTGGATTGCATCAGATAGTCTACACCAAAATACAATAATTATATTGACAGGTGTTGTTCTAGAAAGACTGTGCGATAAAGCTTTTGTTCTTTGATATAGCACATCAACGATTACATCAGATGCTATTTATATAACTAAGCTATTCACTTGCAAAAACCTCTCTGCACTTGATGGTTCTAGAAAGGAATGTCAAGATTACTAAGACCTGTTAACTTCGATCCCTTCAACTAATACGCAGTATCCTACCTCCTGACAAACAAGTGATGACGTCTCCCTGTTACAGTATGTTTCTAGGTATGGTGAATTTAGATGTAAGTTTACTGGTATGGGTTATTTAACTGATTTTGGTTTTACTGGTTTGCAGAATTTAGACATGCTTGTGAAGTTTATTGGAATGGAGAAGTGTAAACATGCTTGCATTATAGGTTCATAAGAGACAGACAAAGTATATACCAACACAAAACAATCTTATAGATTCAGAAGTTTAGAAAAATATTACGTTTAACAACAAACAACTAAAACATTTATTAAAGAATCAAAAATGGGCAGGGCCCACTTCTCTACAATGGAGGTTGGTCCACCCACAGCTGTCTCTGGCAATATTCTGTGGTTACTCCCCAATATTTTCACCTCTGCCCAAAAGCCAGGTAAACAATCTTTTTTTTAAAACTGAACTGGTTTAAATGAACCTAGGTAAATAAGTTTTGTGAAACACATTTACTTAACCACAGAGCAGCAATAAAGTTCAGAATCACAACTATTATCACTGGGATGTGTCTCTACCCTGTAGACAGTGTGTGTTCCAATGACCTCAAGAGCTATGCTGATATCTTAGCTACTGGTTAAGGTCTCTCATGTCAAACAAGTCAAGGGAGAAAAATCAGACAAAGAAGAAAAGACACCTGCTGGCTTACAGGTAGACAGGGGTCAGTCAAAGGCTCAGAACAAAAAAACCAACAGCAATGCTTGCTGAGACTAAGCTGTGCTGTGCCATAAGCTTCATATAATGGCAATGTAACTCATTTCATGACAAAATAACTGTCAAATTTGGTACTGAAAAGGAAGTGTCAAATGTTACCTGAGCTTTCACAGAGCAGTCTTTTGGGGCTAACTCCATGACTCTGCTGGACAACTCTGCCTTGATTGCTTCAAGATTTTCATAGCTATGTCCCCTACTTAACGTAACAACAACCAATCGCTGAAATCCTGCACTTTCTGTAGTAAAACATTTTACATAATCTTAATGAACAGCCACTCTGTAATAAGTCATGTACACACATCAACAATCTTTGACTTTCTGTAGTAAAACTTTTTACATAATCTTAATGAACAGCCACTCTGTTTCTCTGTATTGAGACATGTACACACATCAACAATCTTTGACTTTCTGTAGTAAAACTTTTTACATAATTTTAATGAACAGCCACTCTGTTTCTCTGTAATGAGATGTACACACATCAACAATCTTTGACTTTCTGTAGTAAAACTTTGTACATAATCTTAATGAACAGCCACTCTGTTTCTCTGTATTGAGACATGTACACACATCAACAATCTTTGACTTTCTGTAGTAAAACTTTTTACATAACCTTAATGAACAGCCACTCTGTTTCTCTGTAATGAGACATGTACACACATCAACAATCTTTGACTTTCTGTAGTAAAACATTTTACATAATCTTAATGAACAGCCACTGTTTCTCTGTAATAAGTCATGTACACACATCAACAATCTTTGACTTTCTGTAGTAAAACTTTTTACATAATTTTAATGAACAGCCACTCTGTTTCTCTGTAATGAGACATGTACACACATCAACAATCTTTGACTTTCTGTAGTAAAACTTTTTACATAATTTTAATGAACAGCCACTCTGTTTCTCTGTAATGAGACATGTACACACATCAACAATCTTTGACTTTCTGTAGTAAAAACTTTTTTACATAATCTTAATGAACAGCCACTCTGTTTCTCTGTAATGAGACATGTACACACATCAACAATCTTTGACTTTCTGTAGTAAAACTTTTTACATAATTTTAATGAACAGCCACTCTGTTTCTCTGTAATGAGACATGTACACACATCAACAATCTTTGACTTTCTGTAGTAAAACTTTTTACATAATCTTAATGAACAGCCACTCTGTTTCTCTGTAATGAGACATGTACACACATCAACAATCTTTGACTTTCTGTAGTAAAACATTTTACATAATCTTAATGAACAGCCACTCTGTTTCTCTGTATTGAGACATGTACACACATCAACAATCTTTGACTTTCTGTAGTAAAACTTTTTACATAATCTTAATGAACAGCCACTCTGTTTCTCTGTAATGAGACATGTACACACATCAACAATTTTTGACTTTCTGTAGTAAAATTTTTTTTACATAATCTTAATGAACAGCCACTCTGTTTCTCTGTAATGAGACATGTACACACATCAACAATCTTTGACTTTCTGTAGTAAAACGTTTTACATAATCTTAATGAACAGCCACTCTGTTTCTCTGTAATGAGTCATGTACACACATCAACAATCTTTGACTTTCTGTAGTAAAACTTTTTACATAATCTTAATGAACAGCCACTCTGTTTCTCTGTATTGAGACATGTACACACATCAACAATCTTTGACTTTCTGTAGTAAAACTTTTTACATAATCTTAATGAACAGCCACTCTGTTTCTCTGTAATGAGACATGTACACACATCAACAATTTTTGACTTTCTGTAGTAAAACTTTTTACATAATCTTAATAAACAGCCACTCTGTTTCTCTGTAATGAGACATGTACACACATCAACAATCTTTGACTTTCTGTAGTAAAACCTTTTACATAATCTTAATGAACAGCCACTCTGTTTCTCTGTAATGAGACATGTACACACATCAACAATCTTTGACTTTCTGTAGTAAAACTTTGTTTAAAATCTTGATGCTTGGTTACTTTTGTTACTCATGTTTCCTTTTTTCTCTTGCAATCTACTGGAATCATGCTCTTAAAAAAAATTGACTGCAATTACTTAGTTTTTCTTTCTTTTACTAAATCTTGCTATTGTTTTAATGTTACTTTTCTGACTTAGTTCTTTCTCTTGCTAAAACCTTGCTCTTGTTGCATTATTAGTTATTTTATATTTGTTTCAATAAAACTGTAATGTTCTGTTAAAGCCGTAGCCTTTACATTAAGCTACAAACATAATTTTATAACAATTAGACAATTATGCATTTCCGTTGCGAGAACTAGTCATAAGGCCCTAAATTATCAGGTTCAAAGATCCCCCACCCCCACAAAAGTGATAAATAACAGGCAGTAATGTCAGTTACCAGAGCTGCAGTAGCTAGCATGTTGTGTGCTGCCCCAGTGAATACTGGTGGGTTCAATCGCAATCAAGGTGAACGTTAACTGTTTTAGGTTCCCGTATCACCCCAGCCTTAAAGTGAAAGAAACATCTAGCACACATCAAGTGGCTATGCAGCTGTGGTGGCACATTGGCCAGATGTCTGCCTGCCAGGTTAAAGATCTTGAGTATGAATCCACATCCAGGCAGATTATGGTAATGGGTACCAGTAAATTTCTGTTAAGCCAAGGTGGCTGGCGTGATGTTCACTTAATCAAGTCAAGGTGACTGGCATAATGTTGCCCTTATCAAGACAAGGTGGCTGGCGTGATGTTCACCTAATCAAGTCAAGGTGGCTGGAGTGATGTTGCCCTTATCAAGCCAAGGTGGCTGGCACGATGTTGCACTAATCAAGACAAGGTGGCTGGCGTGATGTTGCCCTTATCATGCCAAGGTGGCTGGCGTGATGTTGCCCTTATCAAGCCAAGGTGGCTGGCATGATGTTGCACTAATCAAGTCAAGGTGGCTGGCATGATGTTCACCTAATCAAGACAAGGTGGCTGGCGTGATGTTGCCCTCATCAAGCCAAGGTGGCTGGCGTGATGTTGCCCTAATCTAGTCAAGATGGCTGGCGTGATGTTGCACTAATCAAGACAAGATGGCTGGCGTGATGTTGCCCTAATCTAGTCAAGATGGCTGGCGTGATGTTCATCTAATCAAGCCAAGGTGGCTGGCGTGATGTTTACCTAATTAAGCTAAGGTGGCTGGCATGATGTTGCCCTAATCAACTATCATGTGCCGGTCTGCTGTAAAACTATGTATCGGGCTCCATAAGCCTGCTGAATAAATAGTGTGCAAAGGGTCTGTGACTCACATTTACAAGTGGAGAACTCAGAATGAGTGTGTTATGTCTACCAGAATCAACTAAAGGACACTCTTTCTCATACCATGAGGTGTACTGGGTATATGGTGCCAGCTTCATATTGATAGATCAACCAGTACTCAGTGCCTGATATGGTCAATACTATGCTGGCCACAATAATGTCTTTTAAAAAAAGCCTGGTTCCAATTTTAAACTGGGCCAACAAGGCCAAAAACAAAAATATTTTTATACTTGGGGCAAATTAAACACATGACCACTAGGCAAGCGGGCTGGCCAGTATGTTATAGCAGGTCCCATCTGGCTACCAAGATACAATAAAATCAACACCAACTGCCAGTTTGTCAAGATGTACAAGAGTGATAAACTCAAACCAACAAGATTCTAACATCTGTAAATAACAAAAAATGATGAAGAAAATTCAAATGTCAGAAATAAACATTAATGGAGACTGTTCAACAGAAGTGAAAAAAAAAAAAAAGGATGGTCACAGCAATGCCAAGATTAAACAACAATAAATGTCTATGGTTATACTGCAAGAAAATCTTCCCTGTGGCAGCATACAGATGTGAGTCGTGGTCTATCTCACAGTCTTTATGGAGGAAAATAGACGTTTTCAGCTGAAATGGTTTTTTAAAAAGATTCTTAGTTTACCATGGACAAAGAAGAAAAGAAATACTGGCATCTTAATGTCTGAACATCAAAGAAGACTGGCTATGAAACAGTATCTTGTCTCAGGAACTGAAATATTCTGGTCATATCAAGTGCCATGGCAGACTGAAAAATAAATAGTAGAAGGCATGGCAACCGGAAGAGGGGCAGGGGTCAACCAACAGGAAGAGGGGCAGGGGTCAACCAACAGGAAGAGGGGCAGGGGTCAACCAACAGGAAGAGGGGCAGGGGTCAACCAGCATGAAGATGGGCACAGGATACGGGACATCTTGGGTAGGGAAGTGCACAAGATGGGAGAGGAGGCGAGAGATCCAAGTTTCTGCTGCACAATGATGAACAACTATCAGTCCATCACTACTTGTATCAATCCACACTGGAAGCAGGCTGACCGTCACTCACCTTCCCTGAGGTACAATGAAGATAGCAAACTTGTTTTCCACCCTGTGAGGAGAATCAACCACTGTCAGGTTGTATCGTGGGATATCTGAGCCTCGTGTGTGGAGTTCTAGCGACACCTGCTGGTCATCTGGTAACCTGCATAAAACAGATTTATTGCAATGTAAGCTAAAACATAAAACGTGGCATGGTGATTTCTGTCCCAGGCATCAGGGAAAGGCTGTTGTGATGTGTACAAGGAGTTACTCTACATCTTACCTCGGGCGCCAGCTGGCTCTGTCCTGGCTTTTGCATATCCACATAAATGTGCACAAACCAAGCTGGCAGGGGATCTCAGAGTTGGTGGCCCCAAGAGATGTTACCCTCCCTCGTGTCTGCCAGTTTTAGAGTGAAAAACTACCAGCTAGTATCACCAGTGTCATGAAGGTGAACTGCCCACAGATAGATACCTTTGCCCTGTGTGGGTGTAAAACCCACAACAGAAAGGTTGGGGACATTAGTCTGGTAGCCTGCCACCCTAGCAACCTACTTTTATTTTCAAAACACGGTAGAAAATAAAATATTAATCAAAAACTACAGTCGGCTTTGATGATCGGCCACCATTATCAAAACATCTGCCTAATGCGCCATTGACATGGGAGCTCACTAAAAACATTAGCAGAAAATTTACATAATGGGCAATCATGGTAGTCTATTCATACACATATATAATAAACCAATGCCCGCAAGTACACATAGATTACAATAAAGAACAAATGTGCTGACTGCATGTGCATACTGATTCTAATGTGGAATCCATCCACTGCCTGCATGTGCATACTGATTCTAATGTGGAATCCATCCACTGCCTGCATGTACATACTGATTCTAATGTGGAATCCATCCACTGCCTGCATGTACATACTGATTCTAATGTAGAATCCATCCACTGCCTGCATGTGCATACTGATTCTAATGTAGAATCCATCCACTGCCTGCATGTGCATACTGATTCTAATGTAGAATCCATCCACTGTCTGCATGTGCATACTGATTCTAATGTAGAATCCATCCACTGTCTGCATGTGCATACTGATTCTAATGTAGAATCCATCCACTGAATGCATGTACATACTGATTCTAATGTGGAATCTATCCACTGCCTGCATGTACATACTGATTCTAATGTAGAATCCATCCACTGTCTGCATGTGCATACTGATTCTAATGTGGAATCCATCTACTGTCTGTACATACTGATTCTAATGTGGAATCCATCCACTGCCTGCATGTACATACTGATTCTAATGTAGAATCCATCCACTGTCTGCATGTGCATACTGATTCTAATGTGGAATCCATCCACTGCCTGCATGTACATACTGATTCTAATGTAGAATCCATCCACTGCCTGCATGTACATACTGATTCTAATGTAGAATCAATCCACTGCCTGCATGTACATACTGATTCTAATGTAGAATCCATCCACTGCCTGCATGTACATACTGATTCTAATGAAGAATCAATTCACTGCCTGCAGGTATATACATAATCTAATGTAGAATCAATCCACTGCCTGCATGTACATACTGATTCTAATGAAGAATCAATCCACTGCCTGCAGGTATTTACATAATCTAATGTAGAATCAATCCACTGTCTGCATGTACATACATAATCTAATGTAGAATCAATTCACTGCCTGCATGTACATACTGATTCTAATGAAGAATCAATCCACTGCCTGCAGGTATATACATAATCTAATAAAGAATCAATCCACTGCCTGCATGTACATACTGATTCTAATGTAGAATCCATCCACTGTCTGCATGTACATACTGATTCTAATGAAGAATCAATTCACTGCCTGCAGGTATATACATAATCTAATGTAGAATCAATCCACTGCCTGCATGTACATACTGATTCTAATGAAGAATCAATCCACTGCCTGCATGTACATACTGATTCTAATGAAGAATCAATCCACTGCCTGCATGTACATACATAATCTAATGAAGAATCAATCCACTGCCTGCATGTACATACATAATCTAATGAAGAATCAGCCCAGCACCTGTGCGTATATACAGAATCCGAAGACAACAGGTCCATAAATGCACATACTGAGCCCAAAGACACAACTAGTCCGTCCATGCACATACAGAATCCAAAGAAGAACTATCTTAGTTCATATATGTACAAACAAAATCTAATAAAGAATTCAAAACACTAATTCAATCCAATAAATACTACTAGCACATGTAATCTAAAAATATTATATAACAACTGTGATAAATTTCTCCATGCATACAAAGTTTTCCAAAGTTGATTACAAATATCTACAATATTTTCATATTTTCTGTCACTAAGTATGATCAGACACACTACCTGTTGAGGAGCTGTTGTCGCACAATGTGGTAGTACTGCATATCTTTCACAATGGCTGACAAGTATTTGATGTCCTCCAGCCGGTCAATTCTGTCTTCAAACCTACAAACTTCAACAATCTGTGGAAATAATGTGAACTGTGAATTTCAAGTCAAGGAAAATGTGAACAGTGAATTTTCAGTTTACAGAAATATCAACAGTGAATTTTAACAAACTGAAATGTTAACTGAACTGCAAATAAATTGAAATTTGAAACATTAGCAGTTAATTTCAAATAAAATGAAACATAAAAATTGAGTTTAAGTGAGGTGTGGACATTATGTCCCAAGTAAATTAACCAGCAATGAATTTTAAGATAACTGATATGGTAACAATATATAAAGGCTGATTACCATCAATCTAAGATTCAAAAGGGTTCAGACAGGGTCAGTGTGAAGGCAGTGGCTTGAGTCATTTCAGAAGTCCAATGTGTGTAGAATCACCTTTATTTTCATTCCCGGATAAGCGGGTGTTTATGGGAGCTGATAGGTTGGCTGGATCCGCTATCACTATCGACGGTCAACCTATGGATCATGCTGATATTTTTAACTTCCTTCGAGAAATGGGGAGGGTGGAGGACTTTGGGGCAATGAATCCACATCACTCGTCAAATGATAGACTTGGGAGTTAAGCTTGGCATAGCAAAATACGAGATGCACCCCAGGCACATCAGAAGACTTGTTAATCAACACAGAACTGGTACGATTAGCCATCGGATGCTGGGGTTCATACTGAGGGGGGATCTAGGCACCTATGGACATGTCCGGAGTGCAATGATGATAATCCAACTAACTAACCAACCAAGATTTCAAACAGATAACCATATTCTGTCAAAAAGATTCATGTTTCTTCTTCGTTGTATGATGATGGGACACAGTCAAATATGCCAGCCAATTCATGCTTAAATTACTGATTCTCTTTCAGCTTTTGATCCCCTAGTGGAGCATAAACCCCCAACTAAAGTGTAACTTGTTGAAATTTTTTAGATTAATATAAAAATAAAACCAGATGTTTAACAAAGGACTTGTAACTAGCAAGCAACTAGGGTGACAATAAAAATGGTTCACAGTGATTGGAAACCTGCTTCCAATAAATAACCAGAACAGTGGTGTAAACTTACTTGAGGCATGTTTGGCAAGGACCTGAACTTTGTGACCACAACAGCAAACACTGGCAAGGATAACGATGAGCGATCTCTCACATCTGGCTCCATGTATATTCTGTGTATCCTGATTGGCCATCCTCTAGAAAGTCACGAGGGCATTAAATCATGCATGAGATCAAGATGAAAGAAGCAAAATCTGCATATTTAAACATTATCACCCTCATACTGTAAATTTTCGCTGCACAAATTTGTCAGGCCTGTGGATTGGGGTTGAAATGGCAGGCACAGCTGCTTTCCAGCCTGTTGGTGATGTGTTCAAATCCCTCATTATCTGATATTTTTAATGTCCCCATGTCAACACAACCTATCAGTGAGTACCAGCAAATGTACTGAGATGTAAAGGAAGCTGCTGCAATACTGACCAGACCAACTAATACTGACCACACCACCAAACACTGACCACTCCACCCAACACTGACGACACCACCCAACACTGACCACACCACCCAACACTGACCACACCACCCAATACTGACCATACCACCCAACACTGACCACACCACCCAACACTGACCACACCACCCAACACTGACCACACCACCCAACACTGACCACACCACCCAACACTGACCACACCACCCAATACTGACCACACCACCCAATACTGACCACACCACATTTAGTATGCAGATTTTGTTTAAAGGGACTAGCAGCATATGTCTAATATGCCCTAAGGCGTGGAAAAGATTTCCTTAACCTACTATGCACATGGACGTTTAATCAGAAAGCTCCTGGCACCATTAGTATCGGAACTCTTCGCTGGCTGCTGAAGATGGGGATGGAGCGCTTATGGGAATGCCCCAAGTGCTGTGATGTCGGTTCTTGAATCAAATCAATCAACTATGCACATGTGATGTGTACAGGTGTTTGATACACTATGTGATGAGTACAAGTGTTTGATACACTATGTGATGTGTACAAGCATCTGATACACTATGTGATGTGTACAAGCGTTTGATACACTATGTGATGTGTACAAGTGTTTGATACACTATGTGATGTGTACAAGTGTTTGATACACTATGTGATGTGTACAAGTGTTTGATACATTATGTGATGTGTACAAGTGTTTGATATACTATCTACTGTTTACAAGTGTTTGATACACTATGTAATGTGTACAAGTGTTTCATATACTATCTACTGTGTACAAGTGTTTGATATACTATGTGATTTGTACAAGCATTTGATACACTATGTGAAGTTTACACATGTTTGATACACTGTATGATGTGTACAAGTGTTTGATACACTATTTACAGTCTACAAGTGTTTGATATACTATCTACTATGTGTTGTGTACAAGCGTTTGATACACTATATGTTGTGTACAAGTGTTTGATACACTATTTACAGTACAAAAGTTTAATATACTACCTACTGTGTTCAAGTGTTTAATATACTATCTACAGTGTACAAGTGTTTCATATACTACTATCTACTGTGTACAAGTGTTTGATATACTATCTACAGTGTACAAGTGTTTGATATACTACTATCTACAGTGTACAAGTCTTTGATACACTATCTACTATGTACAAGTTTGATAAAATTGGAAGTGCAAATGCAGTTTAAAAAAAAAAATGCCTGCTAGTGTTAAATTCAGAAACAAAAGAAAAAGTAAGAGGCTGACCCTGCAAAATATGGAAAGATGGGGTAAGAGGCAATAGGCCTAGTTTTTCTTAGTGTTCACTGGCTTAAAACTCCTGCAGAAAGTTCTGGTTGACTGACCACTTCTGGACTTTGATCTTGTTCCAGACTCTGAGTTTTGCCAGCACATCTATTTTATGGATCGGGCTTATCTGTATGCAGACTGCTTGTTCCTCATCTCTCAGGCAGATACACTCTGACCTAGAAGGAAATACCCCTAACTGGTCTACTGTTACGATAAGTTTCTTAGGGGGAACAGTGAGATCAGTGACTATACCAGTGCTAAATTTTTTTTTTAAATCCTTGATATCATACACTGGCACACTTTTGTTCTTCATTCTACAAATCTATATTTGATGGCATTAGCCAAAGTATTATGTGCCTAAGTATCCGCCAATAAAGATTCAAGAAGACCGAGCCCATGAATGATGTAACAGATGCAGAGATGGGGTTTGGCAGAAGAGTTATGAAAAGATTGTGTACAGATCAAAAAAGGAATGAAGATTTCTTCAAAAAATATGTATCAGCAGTATCCAATACACATGATGGGCACAGCATAAGGAGGGAACCACTGGAGTCATCATGAAAACCAATGGAGATAATGTTAGTTTGGCATCATGGCATGGAGGGACATCTGTATCTAATATGGCAGGCCTCAAACATGACTGAGGGCTCTGGACAGACATGATAACCAACACCACACAGAATGGACTATAAGAAGAAGACCATGTGTAGGCTTCTCTGGTATAAAATGCCACTGGTTGTGAGAAAACCATATCTGACACAACGTCACACTTACAGGTGAGTGAAGAAGTTCAACAAGACCTTCTGAACGTGATCCTGCAGCAGTGAGATGATGATATATCTGCCCCCTAGCTTTAAACATCTGGCGATCTGACCAAACATGGCCTGTACATTGGCCACCACGTCTGCATCCTCACTGACCAATAGAGCATCAAGAGTGCCTTTGTCCAGGACAGCATTGAAGTATTCATCTGGATATGTCATCTGAGGACAAAGAAATCAGTATCTAAAAAGATATGAAGAAACAGAACAGAATGGGTTACTCTGATATATCAAAAGATTAATCACTATGGTAGAGCCTAAACACCTTTCTTCATGGTCACACTGTGGACAATACGACGAACAAAGCCAGGTGGTATGACCTGTCAGAAAAAAATAAAACGTCAGCTTGTTTTAAAATATTTCATAATAAAGTACCTTGTGCGCAGATTTAGAACAATGAAAATCATGTTTGTCGCAAGTAAAAAGCAAAATCTGCTTCTTCTTCTATATCAAACACTGGTATTTTATATCACTCAATATATTAGAAAAAAAAGTGTGGGGGGTTAATTTTGGGGGGAAGAAATCGGACAGGTATGTAGGGTCAAACTTGACATTTGGGCTCACAGGCTAGTATCTTGGTGGCTTCTAACAATGTAAATAATAAGGGCCCTTTTCCCCACATTCGGTATACATAGTGCTAAACCTACACTTTATAGACCTATTGGCACTTGCTGGGTGAAGTGGTCGATATCCTGCTGGGTGTCCCAATTTCTGCGGACTTCGCCTGGTACCCATTTTAAGCTGGGCTGACCTGAGAGCCAAGGTCACATCTGAAAAATTCTGACTCAATGCAGATTTGAACCAACAACCTTTGGACCTGCAGGCAAGCATCCTCTCTAGCAATGGGCTCCAGAAAATTATCCAGGAGATAGACAGTCAAAGTAATACTCACCACAACCCCAAATATGGGACTGGGGTCAAATCCAATATACGAAAATAAGACATTTACATTTCTGTAATCTAGTGTCAAATGAAAGACACCTTTTTGCTTGCATTCTTCTTCTTCTTCTTCTTGTGAATTCCGGCGGAAGGTCCCGGTTAATCGTCCGCTTGGACTTTTGCCTTTTACCTGGACCTGAGTTTTGCGTGTACAACCGTTTTACTGGCTTTTGCCATTCCCTGCCTCATGGGCAGATGTACTCAGACTTCGAGGGAAGACGTCAGGCCTATTTCTAGGATGACTGTGGCCACTGTTTTGTGTGGGTCAAGATGTTGCCTGATTTGTGTGGTGTCCTCTTTGTCCCTTTCTCTACTGGGGAAGCTCTTTGAGGATTGGTGAGCCCTCAAGGAAAGGCAGGGGCAGATCATGGGCATTCCTCGCCCTCCAAGGAGGCTTCCACAAATGCAGAGCTAATACATGGTGCTCTGATACTGGGCTCACCCAAGGAATCCTTACGTCTTGCACATGACTGCTTAACCATATTAAGCCTCCAGATCAACACGGGCTGGGCCCTCCAGATATCAGCGGGGAGCAGCCCATGGGTTCTGAACTTTTGTGACCACGCGAAGAAGTACATTCTTTTTTTGTCACACGTTTGACATCTTTAACGTGCCGATGGCATGACAGAATGGAGAACCCTGCGTCAGGCATGTCTTTATCTGTTTGGTCCCAACACTTGGGTGAGTGGGGTTTTTGGATGCGGACATTTGGATTTTTTCCCAATCAATACGATTTATGATGGTTAGATTTTGAACTGGCTTGTGTGCCGAAGGATGTATTTTTGTCGGACATTTGGGCTTAGCCAACCGATGGACTGTTGCTGTCGTGGTGTACCTCAGCGCGGTGGCGATGACACTGAGGGTTGACAGAAGATGTACTTGGGTAGAATCTTGCTGCGAGATGCCACCCACAGATGTTACTTGTCTGAGCTGCAGGTAAATGTCTTGGTCAAAAGTTGAGTCTCAGCAGCACAATGTTTTCTTCACTTCACAAACTGTTAACCGAGGGTTGTCATTTTAGTTGTACGTTTGGCAAGCAGACATTACTCATGTTCCTAATGAGTTTTGATAAGCTTTTTCACCCAAGCGTTTGGGGGCGGGCTGATGAGAGCCACAAGGACACTACACATCAGGGGGCCGCCAACTCTGAGATCCCTTGACAGCTCTGTTAATGCTCATTTGAGACATTATCCGTGGCGCATGACGAGGATGTGCTGCAGAAGTCTTGCGTGAGGTTCCGTAAAACCAGAACAGTGAAGGGCTGGCGCCCGAGTGACATATGGAGTATCTCTTTATATACATCACTCTAGACTTTACCTCACGCCTGTGAAAAAAATAACCGTGTCCCTATGCTTGCCATCAATCTTTTGAAGGAAGGATAGGCTTCAGGTCCAGATGGTATCCCAGGGAAGTTATTAGGGCCAATATAAAAACATCTACAGAATTACTACACAAATTATTCATTAAAATCTGGGAGACCAAAGAAACACCAGCAGACTGGAAAGAGGGAAATATTGTGAAACTGCACAAAAAAGGTGATCTGCCTGTTGAGAAAACCTAAGAATAATATAACTAGAATGTCTTTGCGTTGGAACTCACAGAGGCACAGAAATAAAGGCAGGCCAAAAAATAAAAACATGAAGAAGGGAGCTAGAGAGTCAAGTTTAAAAGATGGAGAAGACAAGGAGTGAGCTACATGCAAAGCAAACGAAAGAACCACTTGATGTGAGTTGGTTGATGGCCTATGCTCCACTGGGGGATAAAAGTCAGAGCTGGAGGAAATGGAAAAAGTTAATAAAAAGCTTCATTGTATATGAAAGAGGCCCCTGTTAGCTTGGAGAATGTATTTCCTAAATTTAACCATATGTGAGCAGATCTCTGCATTTAATGGTAGTTCTCTATTCTTCTTCTTCTTCGCTTTCACAAGCTGTAAACTCTGGCGGAAAGTTCTGGTTGTTCGTCCACTTCTGGACTGCAGTCCTGTTCCAGAACCTGAGTGTTGCGTGTGCATCCATTTGACAAATTTGTATGCAGACTGTTGGTTCATTGCCTCTCAGGCAGATGCACTCAGACTTCGAAGGAAGCTCCCAATTAGTCGACTCTTACGACATGCTTTTGGGTAGGCAGTGGGTCTATTACCCCTTTTTTTCCCATTAGTAGGGCCCTGGAACCCACATGGGGGGGGGGGGGGGTGTTCTCCATTCATTAATCAGAATCAGTGTGCCAACATCAATTCTGTATTTATGACTTAATTTCCATTCAGTTGGAAAATATGTCGGATTTTTATAAATTTTCTAAATAACTTGCCCTTTTCTAAGTATTTTTAAGACATTAAATTACTTTTCCTGGGTAATTCCTCATTTTCAAGCATTTCGAGGGTTGAATTTTAAATAAGTGCATGATACATTTTTAAAACAAACATGGCTTCTAACTCACTTCTGTAACATCCATTTTGTGAAATACCATCTTAGGTCGCTTGCTTTTATGTCTGTCTGTCATCTGCTGGATAACAATGTCACTAATGTCTATGTTGAAGAGATGCTGCAGGCCGTTATCATACATGTTTTCGCTGAGAGCTGAGTTTCCACAGCCCACAATCAACACTAGGTTTGCTGGCGTGATGTACTTGTGGATGACAGTGTGCAGCTGCGGATACTCTCCATACCTGAATCGAAGGACACAAGAATCATGTCTATAATACTTTATCAAGCAGGAGCCCCACTCTGTGCCAATAAATCATTACATGTTCACCCATTATGTCATATGTTCAGTTTAGGCATCCTCAACTCAGCTTGGATACATATAAAGTGTGCTTGCATATAATAACGAAAATGTATGTGTCAAATTTTTGTTTCATTTTTCTTCACTTTCCATTTTTCTATTAAACCAATGTTGTTTTTATTCTTGTTGTTAGGATTCCAGTAATTAGGAAAGAAAATAGGAGCTTTTGAGCTGAAAAGCAATTGAAAGATTCTCAGAACACCATGGACAAAGAGGAGAAATACTGACATGTTAAAGGATCTGAACATCAAGGATGATTGGCTAATAAACAGCATGGAAGCTGAAATATTTTGATCATATCAACTGCCATGGCGGATCCCCAAAAATAATAGCAGAAGACAAGATACCAGGAAGGAGGGGCAGGGGTCAACCAACACAAAGATAGGCACCTGTTATAAATGAATCCTTGCCTATGAATATACAGGAGGTGGGAGAACTGGCGAGAGACTGGTTTTTTCAAGCAGACAATCATAAGAGCAACTTTCTATAAAGGACCTGCTACATAATGACGACGACGACGATGTCAGGAGTACTGTATTGTGAGATCATTTGATTTTGTTCCTGTAGTAAAATATTCTTGTTGTTTCTTTCTTGATAAAGACTTTGATTGAAACATAGCTTGATGTTTGTGTACCTTTCTCTTTCTATTTGTCAAAGTTATCAAACTTTTTCTTTAAAGCCATTTTGTATTCAATTTGATGAAGTGCAACCTAGAGCCACCAAATATGAACATTTCAGTAATGCTACATGGAAGTAAGCAATGAATCTTTTTTTTTTTTCACCAACGGCACATCAGGCAAATAAACATCTGTATATTTGCATAGATACATTGATACAGACCAACTGGTACTTGATGGGTGGTGTAGCCAATATCACGGCAACCAGCTTTACTTGCCAGGACATTGCCTGGTACCTATTTTAGGTGGGGAGGACATGGAAGCAAAGGTAATTTTTTTTTGTACATACCAAGTCTGCCTGGTACAGATTCAAACCCAAGACCTTTGAGTTGGCAGGCGAGAGGGTGTAACCACTTTGGTATCACAGCTCCCAAGGGGAGAAGACATTTGATCATCAACATAGAATAAACACAGATCAGTTGTTTTTATGTTTGTGAGGCTAGTAAGGAAGATATTTGAGCCCTTATGGATCTTATTGTGAGGCTAGTGAAGAGGAGATGGGAGCACCTATGATGGATCTGTGAGGCTAGTGAGCAGGAGATGGGAGCACCTAAGATGGATCTGTGAGGCTAGTGAGCAGGAGATCAGAGCACCTATAATGGATCTGTGAGGCTAGTGAGCAGGAGATCAGAGCACCTATGATGGATCTGTGAGGCTAGTGAGCAACAGATGGGAGCACCTAAGATGGATCTGTGAGGCTAGTGAGGAGGAGATCGGAGCACCTATGATGGATCTGTGAGGCTAGTGAGCAGGAGATCAGAGCGCCTATGATGGATCTGTGAGGCTAGTGAGCAGGAGATCAGAGCACCTATGATGGATCTGTGAGGCTAGTGAGCAGGAGATCGGAGCACCTATGATGGATCTGTGAGGCTAGTGAGCAGGAGATGGGAGCACCTCTGGATATACCTGAGGTTTTCCTCTCACTGGCAAGAAAGTATGAGCTGCTCTTTGCCGACGATCAATGCATATTTCACAGTGATAGTAAACAGCTGCAAGACCACATAAACCTACTACACGACAGTTGCCTCAAGCATTATATGAAGATCAATACTGAAAAGACAGAAGTCATGAGCATAAGTAGAGAGCAACAGACCATCGACATAAAGATCCTAGATCACAGCCTAAAACAAGTGCAAGAATTTAAATACCTGGGAAGTATCTTTACATCCAATGGTAAAAAAGACAGAGAGATTGAAGCAAGAATCCAACAAGCCAACAATGTCGCATACCAGCTTGCACCAATTTTAAAACACCCTGCGGTCTCAGCTGAGATTAAAAGACAAATTATAAATACAATCTTTATACCGACATTAGGTTATCAATGTCAGACTTGGACATTAACAAAAGAACACGAGAGAAGACTAACCACCTGTGAAATGAGATGTTTGAGAATGGCTGCGAATAAAACCAGAAGAGATCGAGTGAGAAACGATGTGATTACAAGAACTATTGGAACCATACCCATCGTTAAATTTATTGAGAAGCAAAGAATGAAATGGTTTGGTCACCTAATGAGAATGGAACCAACGATGCCAGCATCAAGAGCATACAACATGAAAATCGAAACACCAAGAGGCAGGGGAAGACCAAGAAGAAGATGGATTAAAGGAGTCACGGACAACTTGAGACTTCATAACATCACGGCATATGAAGCGACTGAGCGCGCCCTGGCTCGGTTGCCGATCATCTGATAGACTGCGACGCCTAGCGGCACAAGCAGATTTTGACAAAAGAAAGAAGAGGCAAGAAAGTAGAAATAAGCGTATAGTGTTAGAAGGGCACCATTCTAAAGGTGATAAACCTAGTAACCAGCATGTCTAACTTATTGTACACACAAAAACTACGTTCCAAAACTTAATGATCCATCCATGTATGTGCTGAGATCATGCTAGTATTGAACCTATTCATGTGATATGAACTGCACCAGCTGTATTATTTTTATATTAGTCAGACATAAAATGGGCAATCCCACATAAGGTAAACAAATGAATCATGTGGTTAATCATAATGAGATGTAGATTGTGATGTATATCAGTCGGCTCTAAGAATTTGTGTATTAACTTCTCCGTATGTTGATGTAAATCCTGTAGTATTACACCTGACAAGATGCAGTGATACAGATTAGTTGCGTATGCTTTACATGACGTTGCAGAACCAACCCCAACAGCCCCTGGATGTTGTGTGGTTTTTCTAGGCAAATTTACGTCCAGTAGTTTGCCATTGCTTTCTGGACGGTCGGCTTTTTGATACCACTGTCGAAACCAACGCAAGGCGTCCCGGCATTACGAAGCGTTCGCATCGACTTAGCCACAGAGCCGAGCAGTGATATAGAGTAGGCAGTAAACAAAGCTATACAATGTTTGTGTCATTATTTCGAAAACGATACAGCATGTTTTTTTATTTTCTTTTAAAGCCAGTTGTGTATCTTTTACTGGACATTGTGAGCCAACCCCAGCATTTCTGGTTGTTTTCTAGTTTTACTAGGTAAATTTATGTTTAGCAGTTTGCCACGGCTTCTAACTGGTCAACACTCCGTACAACTGTCAAAATCAAAGATAAAGCAGTCCACTGTCAAACTGCCTGCAGCTGAATCAAACTAGGTATTTTAGATTTATAAATCATGTTGCAACCCCTGAGACAGACCACCATCTATGGGTTTGCACTTACCATTCAAATGGTATCTTGCCTCGTTTCTGAAAGAAACGGTTCCAGTAATCAGGCTGACTAAACTCTGTGTGGCTTAATGGTAGAAGATCCATCCTGTCAAAATGTTTAGAAACACATAAGAATACATAAGGTTTCTACTTCTTTCTATGAGTGCCGATCAATACACTTTCAGTTACTTGATTAATTTATAAGAATACATTAACATTTCAACATACTGAAAAAACACCACATTAATAATTCAATAGAAAAAAAAAAAAAACCAGCTCAACTTTCTGGTTTTATTGAGTGACAGCTGCTATTAACAGTTATAAGACTGTGGACAAATTTGGAAAAGAGTGAACAGAGAATCACCAAAAGGCGTGAAATGGAAAACAGATGAACTGAGGAAATAAAGAAGTTCTAAAGAAACAATAAAGCCAACATTGATGAGAGAGGTCAAAGGTGCTGGACTGGATTCAATCCATGATATCCAGGTGAGGTGTGATATCCAGGTGAGGTGTGATATCCAGGTGAGGTGACTGCACAGGACAGAACCAAAAGTCTGCGAGCCCTAAATGACATATAATGGCAAAACAAGACAATGAATTATTATGGTAGGATGAAAACGATAAATAGAGCCTGATTCTTAACAGCCAATTATAACGACAGGGAAACAAAGGTGTCAGCACATGAAATGTTGATTTTCTTAGCATTTTAAAAGATAGCTTTAAATTCCAGAGGAAAGTTCTGATTGTTCTCCGACTTCTGGACACTGGTATTATTCCAAAACTTGCGTTTTGCATGAAATGTATTTATTTTACAGATTTGACTTATTTGTAAGCAGACTGTTGGTTCCTCTCCTCTCGGTTGCCCTCACAGTTTCAACCCCTACACCCCAGTTATGGCCCCTGATACTCCACAGGGGGGCATTTATTCCCCCAGATTACACGTGCGGTCATTCTGCTGAGTAACAACCGACGTGGCCGCATCGTGATACTAGTTAAGTGATTTTTGTATCTATGTAGTATTGTTAATTTTGTGTGTGCTGATGAAGGCTCAATAGCCGCAACGTTCACGTTTTGTTTGTATTTGTTATATTGTGAAGCTTGCAAATATACTTTTCGTTCAGGTTTATATCTTTTGTCAGGCAGATGCACTCTGACTTTAAAGGAAACATTCCTAAATGGTCACCTTTTACAACGTGCTTGTTGGGGGGGGGGGGGGGGGGGGGGGGGTCTCTATCCAATTTTTCCCATTATGGGGCCCCAGAACCCACATGGAGATGCATATAAAATGGTACATGATGCTGGAAATTGCAAAATGAGGAGAAGCACACCAGATGACAAGGTAACTGATGAGGTGAATTAGCAGAGAAGGACATCAGATGACAAGGTACCTGATGAGGTGAATTAGCAGAGAAGCACACCAGATGACAAGGTAACTGATGAGGTGAATTTGCAGAGAAGCACACCAGATGACAAGGTAACTGATGAGGTGAATTTGCAGAGAAGCACACCAGATGACAAGGTAACTGATGAGTACAGTAATTAGAGGAAGTTGCAGGAGATGCGGTAGCTGCCGCTCGTGAGTCCCAGCCATTTAGTTTAGCCCCCATCCATGCCGGGCGTAGCGACGCGGGGTTTACACTCGGCAGTGAGGCCCACTCGCAGAAGCAGGTCGGCAAGCAACGTATCGCCGAGACCCTGTCAGAGCATTTGCTTCGTTATCCGGAGCCGGCACATATATTTTTAATAGAACTGACCCACATTCAGATATTTTTGGATATTTTATGGCCAGAAATTGGCCAATTTAGCTCTCTTTCGAACGCCATCATATTAAAGCCGCCATTTTGGGGAATGATTCAAAGGAGAGCCAAATATTTCACTAGTCTCTTTTTAAAATTTCGTTGTCACCTTTTTTTTTTCAGTCCTGTATTTTGCATAACAACAGCTGTATTTTAGCAGTGAGTTGTCAGTATTACTGTAAAACAACAGATCCACAATTTCACGCTATTTCTGTATGGGGAACATGGTGCTAGGTTCCTATTTAAGTATTTATTTCATATGGCAACTGTTACTACTGAATGGATGATATTGTTAACAAAGGTATCAGTATCTTTTCGCCGGGCGCCTTTAATTTACTTGCAAAGATATTTCCCGGTTCCTATCATTGTTGGATTATTTTTAATTTGAGGTCGGGTCGACCTGGGAAGCAATAATGAATTATTAAAATCCCAACATTCTGAACTAACTAACTCGTTCAAATTCGCCTCACTGCGGATTTGAACCAAAGACTTTTCTTTCGTCAGGTAAAATAGCGCCTAGCGACCCCCGCCACCCTCCCCTCCCTTTTTCTCCTCCACCTATCATGCACACACCATTTAACTGTGAAACTCGAGGAAAAAGCAAATCAAACCTGCATGAAGTGTAGAGCATCCAACACAAGTTAGGAAAACATGTAGTGTCTTCGTTTCGTTAATATTACAGTAGATATGTTTTTTATTTTAATTTTAAAATATACTTATAAAACCTACGGGACAAAATTTACAGATAGTATCACTGACAGAACGGTTTAAAGCAGGATTACAGTCAATACCGACGTTTTTTATGCCAGATTCCACAAATTTTGCGTATTTGAAATTAGACTGACTTAAAATAATGAGCTGGTGAATTTAAGCGTATTTGGGTTTTTCCTGGCTTTTCTAAACAGGACGTGCTCACATTTTCTTCATGGTTCCTCCGTGAGACACACGCAGATTTACTAAAAGCAGAGACATCTTATTCAAAGCATATTTATTCCAACTCTGTGCTACCAGTGCCAGACATGGTCACTCACAACAAACCATTAAAAAAAATTAGTAACCACGGAAATGAGATGTCTGAGAAGGGCTGTAGGAGTGACCATAAGAGATAAGATCAGAAATGAGATCATAAGAGACCAAGTCGGCACAGAACCAATTCTGGATTACATACAAAGACAACAAGTGAAATGGTTTGCCCACTTAGAGAGAATGCCTTGTGACACCATACCATACAAAGCATACATGGGAAGAGAAGAAGGACGTAGAGCACGGGGTAGACCAAGAACAATATGGAAGGATAACATCAGAGAAACTCTACAACAGTACGATGTGCCTATGGTCGAGGCAGCCAGAAGAGCTAGAAACAGAACCTTATATCTCCCTCGACACCCACAGCGGTAAAAGAGGAAGTGAAGAAGAAGAAGAAGTGTAGGCCTACAATTAACATCTTTATTTCAGTTTGTCTTTATTGTGATGTCCTAGTTCTTAGGGAGTAACGGAGATTAGCGCCATCTCTTATTGTATGATATGTTGTTGTCTTCCTAAATGGATTAACTTGGGCTCGGATTAACTTGTGCTCGAATTAACTTGGGTTCGGATTAACACCGGGTGGATTTTTATACGGACCTAGAGATGTCAGGTTAATATGGTCTAAGATAGGTACACTACATGTCCTTGCAGGTGATGATAACAGAGACTAACCCCGCCACCACGAGATTAACACTGGAAGCTGAGCCCTGCGCCCCCTCTCCTTACCTTACACGTTTTCTAGGTGAAAATAGAGTGGCGCTAAATTTCCCCCCCCCCCAACCACTACCTCCTTATCCTCTAGGCACAAATTAGGTGGTGTTGAGACCTCTTTAGTGCCCCCTCAGCAGAAACAACAAATTAGGAAAACGTGGGGGGGGGGGGGGAGAGCCTGTGATTGTGTAAGGGGGCTAAGATACATAAATTACAAATTATCTTTAATATACGTTCTTATTTTCATATTATTATTATTATTATTTTATGTATATTGTTCTCTATTTATTTGCCATTCGTCACATTAACGTAAAACCCCAAACCAAAAAAGTAAAGGACCCCTTTACAGGCCATCAGTCGTATTGGCCATGTACGACCAACTATACATATGGCCAGTGTTTTTAACTAACGTGTATCTTCTGTTTTCAGTCAATGCGTAGTTGTAGAATTAAGAAACACTACCCGTTCTTTTTAGGATGACATTTTTCTTTATTTAAAGCCCTACTCTGGCTTTGCCAGGGGCCGCAATATAGCCTGGCCAAAAATATGGCCTTAAGGCTGAACGCGGTTTCTGGGACCTCTCCACGGTGATCCTTACCCACATGGTGGCACTTTGTGTCATCGGGTGTTTATCGCTTGTGTGATGTCCTGGTGGGGTAGAAAGTCAGTCAGTCAGTTGTAGAATTTTCTCACAACACTGACATAACAAAACCTTATCGCTTACCTGCAAGAACTGAACTCTTTAGGGCGACCGTTTTGATTGTCGACACCGTATGTATGGTTCTGGTAGGCTGTGGTATTGCTTCTGTCCATACTCAAATATGGCAGGCTAGGTTGGTAGTTGTAGCCACCATGTGACATGTTAGCCACTGTGTTACTGTAGCCACCTTGTGACATGTTAGCCACTGTGTTACTATAGCCACCATGTGACATGTTAGCCACTGTGTTACTGTAGCCACCATGTGACATGTTAGCCACTGTGTTACTGTAGCCACCATGTGACATGTTAGCCACTGTGTTACTGTAGCCACCATGTGACATGTTAGCCACTGTGTTACTGTAGCCACCATGTGACATGTTAGCCACTGTGTTACTGTAGCCACCATGTGACATATTAGCCACTGTGTTACTGTAGCCACCATGTGATATGTTAGCCACTGTGTTACTGTGGCCACCATGTGACATGTTAGCCACTGTGTTACTGTGGCCACCATGTGACATGTTAGCCACTGTGTTACTGTGGCCACCATGTGACACGACAGCCCCGGTAAAAGCGCTGGAAATTGTCGGGGCAATTTGATATCTGGTAGAAAGCACAACGCTGTCGTTATTACATTTCTACTGATTAATATATATTCAATTCAATTTCTCTTGTGTATTCAAACAAAAAAAGTTTCATTTACAGGCGTTAAAGGATATATTCTTCCAATTCCAATTTCTTTTGAGAAAAAGGATAGTTCTATGTGTCAGATCTAGAAGTACGGTCACCCGTCCCAGCACATAGCCAAGGATTGGGGCAAACAGAATCAACAACTAAATATTTTGCCAATGATATACGGTGCATTTTGTTAT